GGGGAATCCAGCAGTATAAATGTTGAGAATAACCATTTACAGACCACTCCCTCGGCCACATCACCCGAACCATTTCATAAAATTGAAAATGTTGATAACGTAGAATACAGTCGATTTGAGGGCCACATAGTACGCATCCTTCGTTGCTTGGAAACCCTTGTGGATCGCCAGAATGATCAGGACAAAGACGATGTCATTCTGAAAGAGTGGAAATTGCTGGCCACGGTCATTGATCGCATCTTCATGTGGGTGTTTCTCCTTGCAACGGTTAGCCTCACGACCGGCACGTTACTACAAGCACCGGCGTTTGTTTAGTTGGATATACCAGCTCGGAGAAAATAACCTTCGATGAAATCTGTTACTGAAGAATATTATTCTGGGACAGAATGGCGTAGATTAATTTGTGCTACCATGTGTATGTGGACAGCGAGACATTCTTGCAATATTCAATCTCGTCCTTTGATTGTGTCAATTGTCTCAGAGAATAAAAACTTTAGTAGTTTGTAGATTGCCTATTAAACGTCTATTAATATTATTTTGTAACTTTTTTTAAAACTGTTATACATTCAAAGATTGTACCCATCTAAAGAAACCCGACATTGCAAAGATTTAGTGACAACGAACACACGACAGGAGAAGTAGTTATTAAGTCTATACCATTGCTGTTGTTATTTATTTACATCATATATCCGAAAATTGGGGATGTTGTCCATTTTTATTATTATTAAAGCATATTTTATTCGTTTATTAATATTATCGATTTGAATTGTGTGCGATGCGATTTCTATTTTATATACTGATAGTCAGGTTAAACATTTATTCAAAACATATACCTTTTAAGGTCTATGTTCAAAACAATAACAAATATACACTTCTAATGCTTCATTAAATATTCCCTCTATTCTCTATATGTTGAGAATAAAGTCATAGACATTGCAAGCTTGTAAATATTGTATTTTGTTTGTCGATAAGTTTCATTTTTATTTTCAAATATTTAGGCAGTAAAAAGAAATTTTAACTTAATACAGAAATCTACTCGTGGTCGTTCAACAACATAACATAATTAGTTTATTTCAACAGTTTTATTATTTTGCCAATTTTTCAAAAGCGATGTATATCTAAATGCACCAACAGCATTTGAAATTGAATTATTAGATTTGTTAAAAAGCACCACGCATTATATTGATACAATAGTGCAGGCGTTGTCGAATTATGTTACTATAGTAACTAGCCACTTATACATATGTTAGAGTGTGATCAGTTAATACAATAAATCTATATATATCCAAGCTATAATAACGGTGTAGTATTGTGAGGGTAGTAGTCAATACACACAGTAATACTATTGTCGTCGCTATTGTTGTAACAGTCCGCCAACCTTCGATGGCGGACAGTTTTAGTTCAGAATTTACTAAGAAAGTACTAGTTTCGAAGAATATTCCTTTTACTCGTTTCTTTGTTCTCAGCAATACCTATGAGGAGAGTATTGTTTTTCAGAACTAGGTTGTTCTCACATGGTTGAATTGGGCAGCACAAAGCCCATCCTTCACTATTTAAAAACATGACTTTTTTGAACAGCAACACCGTGGATTCGAACCAACGATTTTCAGATCGACGAGCTGTAGGATACATGTCCACTCCACTGAAAGAACTGAGCAGGTGGTTGAAAGCAATAAGTAGTTTACTGTGATATGTACATTGAACCAGGTGCGATTACTACAGGTCATTGGACCATTCATTGGCCATTGTCCTTCTATACAAAATGAGTTACGTGACAGATATACACTGTGGCAAACCACTTAAAACTCGCCAAATTAGTATTACTTCGTGGAAGTACGGCAATCGGACGCTAACGGTAGTTTGTTTGGGGTCTCGGTTCTCGTAGACGTCCTCAGCCCTGCGAATTGTAGTCAAACCTGGTATGAACACTACACCTGCTACACATGACGGATTACTGATGCTTGATATTTGGTTTGTGGTCTGGTTCAAAATGACATACTGATGCCTATGTTGGTTTAGTTTTCATGTGTGCTTAACTTTTTCTCCGATATACTTTGACCGATTATGTTCAAGAAGACAAGAACCTCGTCTTTAGTCAGTGGGCCACACGTTAACGTGCTGAATACTCCTCAAACATTCAACTGTGATTTGCATTTTTCATTGTTAATAATTGACGGGCCTCAGACGTTTACTAAAACCTCGACCCCAAACAGGTCGTTAACTACCTCGTGCGCTGTCTTCATATATATATATATTAACTTTTTGCCATGGCTGGCGTCGTCTTCACAATATATTCGACATTCTATGAGCTAATAAACGGATAAAGCATTGTCAATAACATAGTCCCCACTCGGGGTTTAGTGACTCTGACAATCGAGTAGTCAAGATACATGAATTGTGCTAAATAAAAACTTTTAAAGGGTTTCTGATATTACACTAAGAGAACTCATGTTAGCTTACTTTCACTTGCAACTTGAAATATTTGGAACACAACACATGTCCCGCCTGGACTTAAAGGCAAAATGAAAATGAAGCTCTTGGCGCGAGGATTTCTGTCCCCTTGAGAGCATATTTACAGTTGCTGCAACAAAGACACAATCTGAAAATATGATCCTAGGCTAGCCTGGTGCCCTTTGATAGCAATGGGCATGAGGTACAGCTACTTGGGAGCAGTAGGTTTCAGTGGATCTGCTTAACTCCTACCACACCAATTATAGGACTGCCCCATGCATATTTATAGAAGTGCAGGGTGGTATCCCATTGGGTAGGACACTCTGGTAGAAAATAGCTCTTTTATCTACCAACTGCTGGAGAGCTTCTAAGCATGTGATTGAAACAGCACTGAAGTCATGTGCCCCAGTGGCCTAGTGAAGGCCGTTTGGTAGGCATACCAGTTTTGCTACCAGAAGAGAACTTGGCAATTTGTGATTAAAGCTGTCGTTTTGATGTTGAGTGTTGCCACTACTTTCTCCAGTACTGCATGAACCAGTGGGAATGATGGGAATGTCCACGATATAAACATTGCCTTCATCACATATACTAGTACATTGTGATCCAGGAGATATGTCACATATCCGTAGGGTTTGAAATTGTTGGCTGATGTGAACAGATATATGAGTGATACCCTGCAGGGTTAACTGGCTGTTTTCAGTCCTTCAGAAACTTGCCAATTGTTATTCTAGCACAAGCACTTCTGAATGTCGCAGCAGCTGCACTAGTTTTGTCCCATGCCAGGTGACATGCTTCTGACTCAATTACCTTCTTGCAGCACCAGAGTAACATTTCCTCCATGAGCTGGCTTAGTGCAGCAATCCCCTGCTTTGTGACAAACGTCACAACTGCTGAATTTTCACAGTGGACTAGAACTTTATTGTTCTGAACCTTGCTCAGAGAGTAAGTTAACATATCCCGACTTTCAGGTCCATTAGATGTACTTCCAATCAGACCTTTAAGGAGGCATCAGTTATGGATGGAGATGATGGATTGAACCGTGATCCCTGCCAAAGGAATCTGCAGGTCCATTCGCCTACAGTAACTACAGTACTAGCATCTGTACTTGGAGGAGAATGGCCTACATGAAAGCCGTCAACTTGACTGTTGATTTGGAATGAAGCACACAAGTCACTGCGCCTTACTAGGCCCTGTAGCAGGTTGAACTTCATACCCAGGAGCACTTGCTCCTCACCCCATGTGTAGGGGGATGCAAATGATTGTTAATTTAATAATTTTGTGAATACCAGGCAAACTTATATCCAGGATCATAAAGCATAGGTATAGGCAGCTTTGTACTCAATATAGTAAGCAAGTATCCTTGAATATTTTCAATAAGGTGCAGTAAAAAAGTATATATTGGGTAAACTTCAAGTCCTTCAAAAACTGTACTTAAAGTATACTTATTTTTGTGAGAGGTTATATAGGAATTAGCATGGTGTGTATGGCACACTTGCCCATGTTACAGTAGCTGTGGCTTCCCCACTGAGTCTATAACACAAAATACTTTAAAACATGTCTTTTTCGCGAGCATGTCTTTTTCGCGAATTTAGCGAGCGAACTGATTCACTAATTCAAGATGTCGCTAATGACTTTATTGTCAATTCAAAATGGGTGCCGAACAAAGAAATCAACAATGACAAGAGAGATTCGCTAAATCAACATTTCGCTATTACGTCATTTTACCACAATTCGCTAAAATTGCATGCCACTTTTTCAACATGTTTTACAGTATACCCTCTTGAGTCAATGGCACACATATCCAGGGTACAATGGATTTTGATGTCCCATTTAGTCAGTGGTGTACTCAAACAGGTTACAGTGGTTATAGCCTCCATCTTGAGTTTACAATTCACTCATCCAGATAAAGTGATGCTAGATGCCCCCATTAATTTTATTCACCCAGGTAAATTGCCCCCCACCCTATGGAGTCTGTGTGCATTTACCCAGGGTACAGTGACTTTGGATGCCACATTGGATTTGTGGTATACTCACCCAGCCAATGGTTATGGCCTGCCCATTGAGTTAATGACACACTTTCCCCAAGGTACAGCTACTATGGATGTCCAAGCATGTTTGTGGTATACTCACCCTGGTTACAGAGGTTATGGTGTCCCCAATGAGGCGGTGGTTTATTCACCCACGATACAGTGGTTATGACCATTGCATACATTCTATGGTAGACTCACCAAGGTTACAGTGGCGTTGGCCTTCTCTATTGAGTCAATGGCACACTTACCCAGGGTACAGCAGCTAAGGATGTCTCATTGTGTTTTATGGTATACCCACCACTTGTTGAGCCTTCTTTTGTATGTTTTGAATTCCTGGTTCTGGTGGACAACGAGCACAACACTAATTATGCTAAATTATGAATCAATTTTTATGGGACAGTGATTACTTGATAAACACAGCAACAACAAATTTTACAAAGAAAAATTGAATTTATTTTTTAAAAAAATGTTTCACACTTAATTTCCATGCATTCTAAAGTAATATTAGTATTTTGAATATCAAGTGAGTGCACCAAATACATACTCAAATTTCTCCTTGTCCAAGATATACCCAAATCTCAAAGTGTAATACATGAGCTCATCAGAGCCATACTTCTTAAATTTCCTTAACGTTTCATGAGGTCTATCACCCACTTCCAGACTGGGAACCACGTTGACAACAGGAATGGTAAAATCCACTCTATGACCCCAGAATGTTAGGTGAGACACACGGAGCATGGTCAAGTCTGTGTTGATGGCCATCACTCCGATAATTCTTCTAGAATAGAAACTTGTTGAATACAGCATTAGAGTAGCAAATCCTGCCAGTGATAAGGAATACATCGTAGCGTACAATGAAATGATATCAGAATTATAACAATATAATAATGGAGGGATAGATGCAACAGTGATTGCTGTTTGTAGTATTTTCACTCTTGAAAAGCTTCGTAGTGCACGAATGAATGGTAGTTTGTAGATCACAGTAAATTCATCATCTAAATTCACATCTTTAGAAAGCATCCTTGTGGCAAGCAAGTTCCTGCAGGTCAAGGCTGATAAGTGTTCTTTGCTTTTTACACAGTTGAACAGTACTTGTGAATTTCTTGAATGTACTCCTCTATGTGCTGTGACCACGTACATGTAGTAGATATTTAGGCGGCATGATTTCTGAGTTAACTGGAGTATTGATTGCAATACTCTATGACAATACACCATGATTCTGTAAGAGATTTCAGTAAAGGTAGTAATCAAGATTTTTTTTTTTTGTGCCAGGGGACAGTTCCAGACATTGAATGTCACGGTTGTCTCTCCTGACTTTTTGTACAAATTGCAAGTGGTGACACATAGTGCAAATTTACCACAGAAGTCATATTCATGTTTGGGACTACATGACAGGGCTGTGCGGCCATCTTCCTATCAAATGGCAATTTAATGCGCTATCCTGGAGTCAACCAGGCTTGGTCGAACACAAGCAACTGCGAACCTTAACCAAGGTTCCCCCAAAATCACATTCGTTAGTGAATGAGTCTCAGCTAGTGGAATTGGCCTTCCCCTTGAGTCTGTGGCACAGTCACCCAGAGTAGGGGTCGACCCTTTCGATGTTCAGCCTAAGATAGGATTTGAACTTGGGTCTATCGATCATTAGTCTGATGCGACAACCACTATGCTACCAATGACCGGTAATCAAGATTATATGCCGAGTTAAATGACCCAAATACACCCAAAAAAGTAACTTTCAAAATGACCTTCAATCTTGTTGAAATTGCATTCCCACTCTCATTTTCATATGTTTAATGAATTTATAATTACTTACTTATAAAATGTGGCTGGTTGTTGCTCTGTTTGCTAATTTATTTAACTATTTTTTATTATATTCAAACATAGCTGACAAGCGGAATTAAAGTTTTATCATCACAGTCTGGCATTACAGTTCTTGTAATCTGTCAGTTTTATAATGGCTAAAATCGTGTCTGTCAAATAGAATTATTGCCTGTGAATTTGACAAGATAAAAGGTAGTTCGCTAATACACACTGATCCACATAAAATTAAACAGTGAAGAGCACACAACATGACCAAAACATGGATTCAGAATTTGAGTTGGAAATGGACTTTGTTTAGAAAGTCTGACTTCCCAGAGTGCATACAAATTTAATCTTGTGACATGGAAAATGCCTGGACTAAGTTATTTGCTTATGTATGTGCACTCTAAATTGCAGCACAAGAACCTGAAAGTGATAGGCAATCATACATAAAATTACTTTGCACTAAAACAGGTTCCTGAAATCTTGTCGATAACGATTTGGTCGTAATTTCAATGGTTATTAAAATCATCACCTTTGTCGTCATGTTTATTTGTCATTGACTCTTCCCTCACTAGAGTGAAATTCACCTCGAATATGCGTTCCTCATAAGTCTGTAATAAAACTTGAATTCATGTCCTTCATAAAAATTCATAAAGTTTCCTGGAATCTTGGTCGCAATTCCTGTAGCTATCGCCAAAATTTTCATCGCCAGAGAAATTCACGTCCCAAATTTTAGTACCCCAGGCACCTTTAATAAATAACCTATCTAACCGCTGGGCTGATTTAAAGATATCACGAAAAAATTATGGAAGATTGGGCAAAAATCAGCTGTGTTTTGGCGTCAACCTTTTTTCTATTGGAAACACATGGATGCAAAGACTAGATTCTTTGGTCACTGTAGACAATGTTCTGTTCCAATAAAGGATTTTGATATGCCAATCTAACAATTCCTTACAGGAACATCACCTGTATAATAAATAGTTAAATAAATAGTCTTTTTACGTAAAGGCAGGCTCTTGAACTTGACAAAATTCACTCCAAGACCACTAAGCAAATAGATGGAAATACCAGTCACATCACTCATGAAGATTGATTCGATTGCTGGATAGCCGAGTTTAGTGTCCATTTCTACACAATGTGTCTACACTTGCAATTCTCAGATTCTATGTGTAAATGCACATCAACAAGGGAAAATAATGATTTCTTTTGTCCACGTTATAAAATAAATTTTCTAATTAATATTTCATGAGTTTGAACCTGTATGTATTAACTATCAAGGTACTGTAAATGGGTTAATTATTCACTGGGTTTTAATTTTGCTTATTTCGCTGACTGGAAAATGAGCTAAATTAAAACCCAGTGAATATGTAAAATTTAGCATAGAACGCATTATCCAAATGATAAAAACGTGAATTTAAAACCCACTGAATATGCCTGAAATGCTAAATCAGTGAAATTTAAACTCAGTGAAAATTAGTCAATTTACAGTATTACCCTTCTGAATACATTAAGCAAGTTGTTCACTTCTGTATTAAAACAAAGATTAGCAAATCACCTACAAGAAAAAGATATAATTATTAAAGAACAAATTGGCTTTATGTCCACGTTTAGACCAGATGATCACATATTTGTTCTAAAACAACTCCTTAAAAAATACTTCAAAGAAAAAAAAATATTTGCATGCTTTATTGACTCTCAGAAAGCTTTCGATTCTGTTTTGCACGAAGGGCTGATAAAGAAACTCATCATGAACGGCATTACAGGTAAATTCTATAAAATAATTAAATCTATCTACCAAAACTCATTAGGTGCAGTAAAGATAAATCATAATATAACAAACACATTTCCAATTCAAAGAGGCATAAGAAATGTGATGGGTCGAGTCCAGTGTTGTTTAATATCTATGTTAATGACATAAAAAATCACATAAACAATTCTGGCAATGAACCACCAACTTTACTCAACAAAAGTCTACCATGTCTGATGTTTGCAGATGATCTTCTGCTTCTCTCAGAGACCAAACCAAAAAATGCCATTCAGTCCATGGAAGTATACTGCCAAAAATGGAAATTAGACATTAATATCAATAAATCCAAAAATATGATTTTCAATAAGTCTGGGAAAAAAATTAACAAATCTGACTTCATTCTTAATGGGGCAGAGCTGGAAATAACATCCTCTTATATAAATTAAATACAACAGGCAAACTTAATAAAACACAAGAAGACCTCAAAAATAGAGCCATGAAAACATGCTTCAAAATGAACCAAATGCTGTTCTCCGAAAACTACATTCCAGTAGAAATCCACTTAAAAATGTTTGATGCAATGATCAAACCAATTCTGCTGTACTGTAGTGAAATTTGGTCCGATTGCATTATTAACAAAGGAAGCTTCTTGACAAATCTCAAATCACCCATTGAAAAATTACATATTAAATTCAGCAAGTCCTTATTAAAAGTCAACAGCAAAGCAACAAATTTAGCATGCTTGCTTGAGCTTGGTAGGCTTCCACTTGCCATCTCAAGTATAAGGCAAATGCTGAAATATTGGATGCGATTAAACGACATGGATCGTAATACATTAGTTCATGAAGCTTACCAGCTGGGCATACAGCTAGATGATGCAGGCAACAAAATTATGTAACAGGAGTAAAAACCATCCTGAACTTTCTAGACCTTGGTGACGAATGAACACAATGTAAACACAACAGCAATAACAGTCTACCGGTACTTCATCCAATTTTAGATAGACTCATTAAACGTTTTAAAACAGTCGCTGAAAACAGCATGTATGATGACAATAAATCTAAAAATCATAAAAACAAACTTAGAACCAACAGATTGCTGAAAAAGGATTACACCTATGAAAAATATTTAACAGTAGTTAAAAATCCCAACCATCGGTTAGCCCTAACAAAATTACGTATAAGTGCCCATACCTTACAGATAGAAATGGGGTGGTACAAAAATATTGACATTAACCATAGAAAATGCAAAGTCTGTGATCTTGATGAAGTAGAAGACGAGAAACACTTTCTGCTAAAATGCAAACTACACCAAGAGGAGAGGATTAAACTGTTCACTGAACATAACTTATCCTCAGCTGGTGTAGCTGAGGAAGAAATCATGATAAAAGAAAGAAATCACTGACTAGGCAAAATTCATGTTTAACTGCTTTAAGGTAGCGAGACTATTATTTGCATACTTGTTTTCATCTTCTAATTGTGACTAAATGACTACAAATAGACCCGGGAAAGTATATATTTTTAGAATCGCCAGACTTCAAGCTTTTCACAAGTGTATTTTGCATGCCCGTATCTGCATTCTACGACGCGTTACTCAATCAAAGGTGAAAAATTACTTTTTCTGTAAAAAAAATAATTACGCATTTACACTGGCGATAAGAAGTATTTTTTTCACTTTTCCTAGTTGTTCAATAGTCTGGTAAATTGAATGTGTCTGGTCAGTTTTATTCAAGCAACG